GAACAATGTTCACTTTACTCAAACATAAACCTGTAAAGAGTAAAATCAGAGAAAAATTATCATTTTTAGTGCTCTCTTAATTTTTCCCAGAGTATATATGTGTGTGTATATATATATATATATATATATATATATATATATATATATATATATATGTATATATAAACACATAGTTGAATTTTTCAGCTTTGCTGCAGCTGCTGTAGAATTTTTGCGAGGGGAATCTGCAAACGTAGCCAGCTCTTTTTCCGCCGCATGCCGTCCCTCTCTGGGTTGCTCCACTCATTCCTCCTCTATCCGTCGGCAGCATCGATCCCACTCATCCCAGCGATGCAGAACTGGAACTCCCCCCCCCCCCCGGTCCCGCTCCACCTTCGATTCCAGCATCAGCCTCCCGCTCCTCTGACCTCCGACTTTGGCGGCACTTTAGGAGAAACTCTTTGCAGCTCGTCGGTGGGATCAAACCGATGCGGTTGTTTTCTGTGCACTGGACGGTTTATCGGCTGCAGACAGTATTTACTCGACTGTGCCGATTCCTGTAGGTGAATACTGTGTGTGTGTTTGCGTGCGAGAGTGGACTTGTGCGACTGTTTTTTTTGGGGGGATCGATGACAATCCCTTTGCTACGAGAGTGAGCCCAAACTCATTCTCCCTCTGTGCGGTTAAGAACACTGAGTATTTATTAAAATTATTGTTACTGTGGGAAGGAAGTAATTATTATTACTATTATTATTATGATTTCAGTACTCTTCCTAGGTGATATTTGTATATGCTTGTTAATACGGGAAGAAGAAACCGAGAAAACAAAACCTGGGAATCTGCTGACTGGAACGTTTGTGTTGTCTTCTGTCTCTGCCTGTGAGGAATCTGTGTGAAATGTGACGGATGAGAGGTGAATAAAACAACAAAAACAAAGACATTTGTGGAGATTTTGTTCATGTTGTTTCATCATATCCAGGTAAAAACACACAAGAATCAAATAATGTAGTAAACCATTCCTTTGTGTCTAAGGTGTACTTTACTTTAGTCTTTATAGAGAGGAAATTATCCACCATTTCCTCATATTTTCCCTAAAAGAGCCATTGATGTGAAAACAATTAGGTTACCCATGAAAAGTTCACAAATTCTACGTTTATTTTTAAATTATTGATTCAATGTATCACTAACAATTAGTTTTCACGTCTTCCTTTGTTCAAACACCCCAAAATATGCTGTCATGGTAAGATTGAACAACTTTATTTTGAAAGTGATGGTAACACTTTATTTGAAGCAGTGTGTATAAGACTGACATGACACCGTCATACACCCGTCATGAGCATGGAGTCTTTATGAATGTCGCCATGAAATGTTATTCGGTAAATAATGACATTTTTTATGCAAAGTTGCTCTGGATGTCCAGTAAAAGTGCCAACTTTACATTAAAAGTGCAGTTATTTACAGAACAATGCAGAGTCAACATTGGAATTTTAATG